GGTGTTTAGCGGCCCCCGATAACGGGGGGCAGCGGAGGAGGAGGGGTTCATACGCGTGGGATGGCTTCTGCCTCCGGAGGAGACGCCGGCTGCAGCCCCAACCGCTCCAGAATCGGGCTTGACTTTGCATTTCAGTTTGTCCCACTGTGCCGCCGTCCAGCTGGGACAGCAAACACACTTCCAGGGTGAGCTGGTATCTGGCTGGGCCCAAACTCAGCACCTGCAGGCGATGCAATGTGCCGTCTCTGCAGTCACTGGCCCAAACACAGCTTAGCTCGGTCTTGGGCTCCTGCCACTGAGTGAGGACCACATTTCACGGAGCGCTCCAGAGCCCCAGAGCCTACGACGAAGGGCAAAGCTCCGCAGTCCAGGCAGGAGTGGAGAAACAGCAGCTGGGTGCAGGCAGAGCCGGCAGCGGCAGGGAGCAAGGAGCCGCTGCTGGCAGGCGACAAGCAGAGCACAGCAGCTCTGCTGGGGAGGTGCCTGCAGATGTCGTGACAGAAGAGCTTCAAGGAGGGCGTGTGGTGGCTTTGCAGATGCTCAGAGGCTCCTTCTCCCAGGTGTGGAGCAGAGCAGGAGGGAGCATGAAGGGGCTTGTTGGAAACAGACCACGGAGTGGGCCTCTGTGCGTGGGAGATGATGGGTGGAGGAGAGGGTGATAATGAAGGGCTGGGAGGGGATGAACAGTCCGCAACTGGGGCAGAGAAGAGAGGGTGCCGGGGAGGAGCGTGGGGAGGAATGATGTGGTCTAAGCCATCGGCCAGCACAACAATTCTTGCAGCAGTCCTCTGGATACAAACCAGCAGATCAAGGAAACCTTTGCAAGGCGTGGACATTGTTGGGAAGTAAGAATCCATGGAGAGATGATGATGATGAGCCCTCAAAGAGACAGGCTGGACGACGCCAGTTTTACCTTCAAACCAATTTCTTGACAATCATCTCTTCCCTGGCACCCCAGCTGGTCTCCGGGGCCCCTGTGGGTCTGTGTCTGCTTGATGCCTCCCTGGCATGGGCCTGGCTGCCTGCTGCATCTTTGGATGTTCCTTATGCCCTGTGGAGTGAAAGAAATTTCCAAAATTAAGAAGGATCCAGAAGTTGTCCAGGAAAAAAAAAAAAAATCACAGCTATGTTATGTCTCCAGGGCTGTGTTCGTACGTTCAGCAAGTTATGAAAACCAGCTCTTTGGGCTGGTTCAGTGACTGGCAGGAATCGGAGAGCTAAGTCACTGCAGGGTTGGCAATTAGCTGCCGTGTAAGTGTTTTTGTAGAATCAAATTTCCAGCATGAGGGGGAGAGAAAAGCATTTGTAAAGCAAGCCGCCCCCTCGGCGCGGGAGCTGGGCGGGCAGGGGGAGAGCTGCAGCTCCTGCGCTCCTGAGGAAGGGGCTTGTGCCTCAAACAAACATGACTTTGGTCTCCTCTTCTGAGGGGGTGACACCCCAAATCCTTCCTCCCGCAGCGCCAGGGAGCTTGCCTGGCCCGGGAGCTGTGCTGTGCAGTTCTGCTTACAGCTGGAGCAGCAGCATTTTACATTCGGCATTTGCCCACTACTAAAGAGGAGAGGGGGCCAGAAAGAAACAGAAAAATGCAACTGAAAAGCCCCTGCATCAGCAGCACCTGCATTTTTTCCTTTTCCCAGCCGTGTGTCCTGGGGAGCGGGGTTCCCTTCCCCGTGCAGCCCCGTCCTGCTGAGCCATGT